TATTTAGTTTTAGGCCACAAGGCTGTGGAGCTACGCTTGCAGTCAGCTCTACTCATCGTCCCTCAGCTCTCTCTCAGCCTGAGCTGAGTACCATAGAGTCAGACCTGCCATACTAACCTAGAGATGTTACGCTTGATACCAGAGCGTCGAATCAGTGTCCACACTTTGTGCTAAGAACTGTGTCAATACCACGATTAGGTGCTTTGCTTCAAAACGCTGGAGTCATGTGATAAACTACAAATGAAGCTTTGTTACATCTCTGAAACCGATTCATTTCCTCGAGAGAGACAGACTGAGAGACACGTACACGGACAGAAATCCTCACAGAGGTTGTTCTATTAATTAAACAGATCCATCATGGAGGCTCAGGAAAGAGACCCAGGTCTCAAGTATGGGATCACTTTCATTTAGCCAGCCTAAATAAGGTGAGATGTATGATATGTGACCAAACGCTCAAACAACACCTCTTCAATGCTTCTTGACATCATTATAATTATTTCCATTACAAATATCACAATATGACTCTTCATTACTTGGGAAGTTAATGTTAAAGTTATTTTTAATATGATTTTCTTTCTTAATATGAGAATCATACATCAGTGGTATTTATTCAATGCTCAGCGATCATATTAACACATCTATTTTGTATTAAAGGTTTGTTTGTGTGTATAAGCTTCAATGGAGATATGACAATCAGTAGGAAACAGTCATTGTAGGAAACTGAACTGGAAGTAGATGGCAGCATGGAGTTACGTGTCAAACGCTTCAAAACACTGAACCATTTTCCGAGACAGTTGGTTCAGCTGTGTTGATGCTTCCAAAAGCTTCCTAACTGCCACTGCTATACTAACCCTGTCCCACAGCTCTTATAGGATAAGCCCCACCCCTGAGCTGAACCATTCCACTCCACAGGGGTGTTGCTACCCTACAAGAGTGGGTTACATCAAGGATAAATACAAACACAGTCTAAAATCAACATCACGAGGTCTTAGTGAGTTATGTCTCTGTTTCTCTTATAGGTTCTAGATTGCAGACATCACCCTCCCATGAACTGGCAGTGGGCCCCCCGGCGCACTCGAGGGAGCTCAGTCTGCTCTGCCTCCCTTTTACTGACTCTGCTGGAGAACAGACAACAGGTGAGTATAACAGGTAACTATTACACTCACACACAGTCTCACCGTCTCTGTGGTGATGGGCAACACCTTTACCTAATCACACTGTAACACACACACACTGTATATACACTCACTCACTATACATACACATACACAGTAACACACATACACACACACACTCGTATATGCACATACTTACACAATAATGCAAAGTCACACACACACTAAAACACCCACAGTCACACACTCGCATACACACACACACACACAAAAACAAACACTCAAACTCACACATACTCAGATACTTACACAATAACACACTCACACACACTCACACTGTCTTTTCATGCACACTCAGAACACACAGCTGAGTTTGTTCACTTTTGTTTACTGTAGGAACAGTTTTAGGCCATTTATAACATTTATAGTTATTTTATTATTTTTTATTAAATATGTAGTTAAAGACATTAAATTCACTGTAAAAATATGAGGATAATACAGAAATTGTGGATAAATCATATCGTTATATCCATGTATTGAATTTGCTCGAGTCTCTTTAATGTCCAGCGTGTGTTTCTGTATGAAAGTGTCCATAATTATACAATAAACACTGACTGTGTTAAACATATAAAAACACACAGTGTAGTTATATATGAGTTCAGTGAGGAGCATGCTTCAGACAGTCATATATAAACCATACAGTTTGTATTATTATGGGATATGGATCATATCTGCTCTGTCAAATGAACCAATGTGTCCCATAACACACTAACACAGTGGACACAGAGCTCCTTTACAGCTCCACGTTCACCAGGAGAGAGAACCTCACCACTCAGAGGTCAAACTCCAGTGGACACTTTTCAGAGTAAGCAGCCCCCGAGAGAGGTGGTCTTCAGAACACTATCCACTAACCACAGTACAGTTCTAGAGCTCAGTAAAACAGACAGACGCTCAGAGCTCAGTGAGCCTGTGGGAATGTTGGGGTGTAGAGATTGCAGGACTGCACTAGTTTACATGTAGCGTGACAGGTGTAGAGACTGGGTTCCCCTCAAAAAGATCAGTCTGAGCTCCAAAGTTCGACTTGCACACACGTGATATTTTATTTGCACACAAGTATGCAAACGTGAAAGAAAAAACTGAAAAAACATAAAATAAACGGGTTGCAGTGCAACTAAAATGACTAAAACAAAATGGGTTATTTCCAAGCATCTACACAGTCCCCTGTGGATGTTTCTGGCTAAACGTCAGCCAGCTTGTGCCGACGGACACAAGGCCACATAGACACATCTTACCTTCTCCCCTTCTGAATGAATTCCACCCCTTTTAACACCCTAGCCCCGCCCCATCTGGTTAACCCAAACCATTCTCCAGGGTTAGTGAGGGGATACACAAAACAAACAATAACAAAACAACTTCAGGACAATAAACACAATACAAATAATACACATAACAGGAAGCTTCCTTTTACCGGTAATCATATTAATTTATATTGATGTACTCTTAACCCTTTTTCTGTCTTTCCCCACAGGTTCTCGTATCATCTCCCCCCTTCTACACACAGCCGTGGGGTCTACCGGCCAGTATAAGGGAAGCCCTGGAAGGCGCCCACGCTTCCCCTGAGGATCAGAACAGAACAAGGATAAGGTAAGTATTTCTTCTGTGAACGATCTTCTAATTATGGAACATCTTCATAAAATCTAACAGATCATTTACACCAGTGTCACTGCCTCGACTCAGATCACTGCAGATTTTCACTATTTTATCATCAAGATCTCACACAGACACTGCAGGGAGCCTAGTGCCCTCCTGGTGCACCGTCTGACTTCAGCAGTTCCATTCTGAACTAATTCAGTGAGACTGAACTGCTGGAGATTAACGTATCTGTTCATACTGAAATGTAAACACACTCCTTTATTAACACTGGTTTAACTTTGATGTGTGTGTGTTGTTTATCTCACAGCTACTGAGCGCTGTGTGCTGGAGGCCTTAGAGGAAGTACAGCTGTAACTGCAGCATTTAACTGCAGTTGTCCAGCAGAGGGCAGCATAGACAGGCAGAAGGCTTCTTCACCAACACCACTGGAAGAGGTATCAGAGGAAACTCCATTTCCTCTCCAGTCTGCAGAGGATTCCCAGCAGCTGGAACAGAACCGAGGCAGCACTGCCTCAAAAACAAACTGATCTCTTCATTTCTGAACTTTTCTATTAAAGTTAAAACTAAGAACAAGAGGTGATCTTAAAGACCTTCTTAAACATTGTTTTACAGCAGCATCACACTTACTTTAGCCTGAAAATATCATTAATAAAACTGATCAAATTAAACTGTGTGAAATCTCTGAATACAAGACATATAAAACTCCCCCTAAATCAAAATAGTTGGGTAACACGGTTTAATCCTATTTTAAGCATAACAGATTTTATTTGGTCTGGGTGTCGTAGCTGGTGGAAACACAGTTCAGTCTCTTTATTTGACCTAATTGACCTGGATGAGTTAAAGTTTGGGATAATTAAGGTTTTTTTTCAACCCTAATGTTTTAAATATGTTATAAAATGGGTCAAATCAATTAATATCAACTTAATTTGTTTTCTTAACACGTACAAGAGCCAGTTCTACGTTTCTGAGCGCAGTAATCCTCCCCTCCAGTCTCTGCTCTGATTGGTGGAGCTACACATCACTCCTCCCTCTTCAACCAATAAAAACCCTCAGCTCTTCCTGCTGTGGTGGCGAACTAATCCAGTCCAAACCGGTTTAGAGTGAAAGTGAAAGTGAAAGTGGAGCCGCGTCTGTTCAGAGAAGAGAAGATCAGAAACAGAGAAAAGCTCAGAGGTAATTACTGAACATCAACACTCACAGTTCACTGAGGAGAACAAGGAGAACCACACTGATCTGAGAGGAACAGCTGCTGGGTTCTGCTTTAGGTTCTGCTGAAAGGCTCTGTTTGATAAGGTCAGGTAACTGAAGCTAAGCTAAGCTAATGCTCAGGTAGCCAATAAACCCAGAGAAATGTTGGAGCTTTTAGAGCCTCAGAGCTTCTTTCTGTGAGGAGAACCTTTAATTTATGGAAATCACCACATTTTGGTTATTAATAGTTCAGAATGAGCTTCTTAGAGACTTTTATTATGGAGAAAAGACGATAACGGCTAAATGCTAACAGCTAAATGCTAACCGCTGGGTGACTCGTTCGTGCTGTAGTTGAGCTGTGGGTGACTCGTTTGTTCGTTCGTGCTGTAGTTGAGCTGTGGGTGACTCGTTTGTTCGTTCGTGCTGTAGTTGAGCTGTGGGTGACTCGTTTATTTGTTTGTTGTTTGTCTGCGCTTGATTGGCTGGGTGTTTGCCTGAGGAAGAGAAGCTCATTTTGTGTTTTTCCAAAACTGGGTAAATCAATGTTGGTAGTAATCTGTGTAGTTTATACAGACTTTTAACTGATACTGTGATTATAATGCTTGGTTTTGCATACGTCCATTTTCACCAGTGCAGGATCCCTCAATCAAAATAAAAAGCAAAAATAAAGGGTAACGTAACTAAGCCTTGCGCTGATAGCCAGTTAGTTAACCTAGCTAGCCTTTGCTTTTCAGCTGTTATGCCATCATGGTGGTGTTAACTATAGTAATGACTGTCCATTTTCCATACTGGAGCCTTATTATTTTAAATAGTCGCTCTCACTGAACTAAAATTACACATTACAAGCTATGTTAATATATGTAAGTGTGCTAGTTAAAGTATATTACTCACTTTATTGATGCTTCATTTGTCTTCACTTCAAACTGAGCTGCTGGCTTGTCTATTTAAAAATGATGAACTTGGGCAGGAAAATCCATTAAATTAGGGTTTTAACCCTTGGATGGTGTGTTGGCTGTTTTCTGTACCTTCAGTAATGGACACCTCATGGCGTCAGAGTTGGGCCAAAAGTACTGAGGAGGTTGGGCCACAACATTCACACAAAATGTTGAGTCAAAACCAAACACAGCTGTCCAACATCTACTCAGCTGTCCACATACCTAATATCTGCTCAGAGGTCAATCAACACTCGTGCATGTAAGGTAGAATTGGCCCAGAACTGTCTGCTATCTGGGTCTTGTAGGTGAAGAGAGCGCTCTGATTGGTGGAGCTACACATCACTCACCCTCTTCAACCAATAAAAACCCTCAGCTCTTCCTGCTGTGGTGGAGAACTAATCCAGTCCAAACCGGTGTAGAGTGAAAGTGAAAGTGGAGCCGCGTCTGTTCAGAGAAGAGAAGATCAGAAACAGAGAAAAGCTCAGAGGTAATTACTGAACATCAACACTCACAGTTCACTGAGGAGAACAAGGAGAACCACACTGATCTGAGAGGAACAGCTGCTGGGTTCTGCTTTAGGTTTTGCTGAAAGGCTCTGTTTGATAAAGACAGGTAACTGAAGCTAAGCTAATGCTCAGGTAGCCAATAAACCCAGAGAGATGTTGGAGCTTTTAGAGCCTCAGAGCTTCTTTCTGTGAGAAGAACCTTTAATTTATGTTAAACACTACATCCACAGAGTCTCCGCCCCTTTGTGCTACAACTCTGCGCTTGATTGGCCGGGTGTGTACATGAGGAAGAGATTCACACACAGCCCATGTTAGGGCTGTACAGGACGCACAGACTAAACGTGTCCTATTAGTACCTGAAACTAGATTAAAAGCTCAGTTCATCAGTCTCTGATTGTCTCCATCAGCTACTCTTATGTGAAGATCCTGAAGAGGCCATAACAGGATTAGTCCTGTGGAACTGAAGAGAACCTGACTGTAGCCTAATGGAGAGTCTGAGCCTGTATTAGCTCTGAGTAGAGTGATCATCTGTACATGGCTGAACTACAGCAGCTCAGAGTGATGGACCATTTACTGAGAGATCAGATTACTGTTCCACTCCAACACCGTCCACCTGAGAATGACCCGCAGTTCTGGATCAACATTACAGAGACATTTTATCATTATGGAGCTCAGATGAAGCTGAAATATGAGATTTACGTCTCCAAAACGTCACTGTTTACTCAACACTCTGTTTCCATCACTCTGTATCACAGCTCATCTGTGTTAATAGACTCTGTTCACCTCAGTTTAATGTGAAATCATCTTTTATAACATTTTAGGTGTTTTTATTCAGCTTTTATATTGAGCTTTTCTAATGTCCAGAATTCATGTTTAACATGATTAAAAAAAACACTCAAATATACAGTTCTGTGTGATGGACCGTATGAGCTCTACATAGCATTGACTGCAGATTAGTATCATATAATGACTGTTTATGAATAATTACTGATCTGTTGACAGAGAGCAGTATCTCCAGTGTCCAGCTGTGTGTGGAGAGTAAAACCTCAGTGATGGAGCTTCATCACTCCAGCAGTGGAGGAAGAACCTCTGATTGAAAGTGAGTAACTTTATATCAGATCTTAATCTGATTAAACAGAAAGAGGAAATCAGAATAAATGAGTCTTAGTGAAGATCATAATCACTCAGCACTGAAATCTCACTGTGGATGAACTTTTCTCAGAGTGAAGCGTGCAGGACCTCCAGAACCCAGCTGTGTGTCTGAGAAGAGGTACCAGTCCATGGAGAACCCTCCTGAATTCAGCAGTGGAGGAGGAGAACCCAGCTGTGTGTCTGAGAAGAGGTTCCGGTCCATGAAGAACCCTCCTGTATTCAGCGGTGGAGGTGGAGAACCCAGCTGTGTGTCTATGAAAAGTGACTGGTCCATGAAGAACCCTCCTGTATTCAGCGGAGGAGGTGGAGAACCCAGCTGTGTGTCTATGAAGAGTGACTGGTCCATGAAGAACCCTCCTGTATTCAGCGGAGGAGGAGGAGAACCCAGCTGTGTGTCTGTGAAGAGTGACCAGTCCATGATGTTTCCAGCACAGTCCAGTGGAGGGAGAGGATCCTCTGACTCAGGGTAAATATCTGCTACCAGTAAACAGCAGCTCTGACAGTGAATCACTGTAAACAGGTTCCTGATCTCTGGGCTTTTGATAAACTGTGTAACTTGTGTGTGCTTATCTCAGCACATCGTGGATATCATCAGTACTTAAAGAACGCTGATCATTTGCATATTTTATTACAAAGTGAGCATAATTAGGCCTGTTGAGCTGGACTTGGTGCAGCACAGTCTGTAAAACACTGAATAAACATCATTATAGTAACATTAGGAATAGGAATCTTGGTTCTGCCTGGGCTCTTACAGAACATCAGGGTATCACAGGCAGGAGCAGAGGAGGCTGTGGGGGATCAGAGGGGAACGGCAGGCCATCCAGTCTAACAGGGGTTCAGTGTTCTTGATAGGTTTTTTATTCAGACCTGGTGGGAGATCCTTCAAAGCCCCCAGTGGTGCTGTGTGTATGTGGTGTCATCAAACAAATAGAGGATCAGAGTAGAATTATTAATAAAAATCACTGAGAATTACCTTTAAAATACAGCACAGTTAATTACTGTTTGCAGTGTTAGTACATGTGAGCTGTAGGCTGAGTTCCATCTGAGGTGACTCCAGTGCTGAGTGGAAAACGTTCATGTTAAACCACCCAGACATAAACTGACCACTCATAACATCACCTTATACTGTCTGACTGCTTTATCATTAGACTCGTTACTGACCTTTTACCATTAGACTCGTTACTGACCTTTTATCGTTAGACTCGTCCATGGCCTTTTATCGTTAGACTTGTCCATGGCCCTTTATCGTTAGACTCGTCCATGGCCCTTTATCGTTAGACTCGTCCATGGCCTTTTATCGTTAGACTCGTCCATGGCCCTTTATCGTTAGACTCGTCCATGGCCTTTTATCGTTAGACTCGTCCATGGCCTTTTATCATTAGACTTATGGGCAGATTAATAACTTCTATGAACATTAACATCATTTACCACTATTTTTTTTTTTCTTTGCCACCTCAATAAATCCACTGGGTCTGACCTTGTTACTAAAGTTCTGTCTGTGCTCCTGTTCTGGTTCCAAAATCTACACTGGATTTTTATTCACGTGATAATTTCAGATTCGCTACTTGTTTCTAATTTAAGCCACACCCACTTCCAGCTTATGATAGACCACTGTAGTCGTGTCGTCATTTTGTAGTTGGCGCTGTGCTCTTATGCCCATATTAGGAACTCCGGGTCTAAGCTCTATTTCTCTATGGCCAGAATGAATGGGACTTTGGTTGCGCTACTTAAGGTGGAACAGGAAAATTCAAACAAGCAGCTGGTGAAAAAGAAGCATAAAGGCCCGATATGATGAGGTTTCTTTATTTCTGATTTACTGCTGAGTAACACTAACTTGTTGGTTCTGTTAAACAGCAAAAGTAATCATAAGTCAGTATTTTGTCCCATTTGTTAATGTTTGTGATGGCTGATCACAACTGCTGCACCATTTAAGGTGGAACAGGAACATTCAAGCAAGAGAAGCTAAATTCAGCCTCGCAGTTTTAACACTGGTAGTATTTTAGATAAGAAGCTTTAGTCTATCAAAATATCCGACCTAGAGATTTTATTTACGGATATACCTGTAAATATGTGCTACGGTAGAACATTTCAATAAGGTAGCACAACTCGTCAGAGCTCTGCCACAGCCTGCTTTATTTGCATGTAGCTTAGTGACATCGAATTGATGCGCAGTAGCTTTAGCTCGCATGTAGAAGTATTAGTGTTAAGGCTCTTTAACAATCTCATAATTCAGAGGATTACAATGTTCAACTTATAATACCATTGAATTAGTGACAAAGTTTGGCCCCTGACCTTAGTGGCAGCTTTAAATCACCTTTCCACTTGTTGAGGCAGAGTGTTAAGCAGCCTCACAGAGCACCTCAGTGAAATGAGCTCTAATGGCAACAGTGACTCCTAGAGCTCTTTAGTGAAATGGGCTGGTGGCTAAAGGGGCTCTTGGTTACCGTGGCCTGGTTGGATGAGCAGAATTGTTGAAAATGTTCTGCAGATTTGCCGTCATCCTCTTCTGTCACTGAGTCCAAAGTCTTGTGAAAAGAATTCTACTACAGACTGATAGAACAATCCCTGCACAGATTAACAGACCTGTCCAGTCCAGTTGGTTGTTCAGGTAGCCCCAAGTACTTGGAGCACTGACCCTTCTGCGCATCTCCTGTAGATGATGACTGGGTTAGTAGCCCTTGATGATGCCCTTTGGAACTGGGGGTTGATGGGAAATGGAGTAGTTATTGAGGAAACAGTTCAGTCAGTGTTCATCTGTGTTCTCCCCATATGATGAACAAGTTCCTCATCCTGGTCTGTCCACATTCTCAAAGCCCTGGTAGTAACAGGCAGCCAGTGAAGTGCAGGTTATGTTATCACATGTAATCATGTATTACAGTTATCACATGTAATAACAGAAAACTCATATAATTCCTCTGGAGTACTTGGGGTCATCTATGAAAACGTGCTTACATTCAGTTTAGGTATTAATATTATGTGTTGTGCCATTTGACTTGTGAACATTGGAAAAACTGTGAAAAGTGTGAGATTTTCTGTAAGTGTGAAGAAACGATGTGTGTTTGTCAACCTTTAACCATGAATGACCATTAATTTCCACATGTACAGTATTTAAATCAAAGTTTTTACTGTTAGTGTGATATTACACTTGTCTAGGAATATTTGTTAATATTAGAAACTGACAGGAGAAATCAAGACTGGAACACCTGTAACATTAAGTCTGAAGCCTGAGGTAAACCAAAAGAAACGTACTAAATGAAGTAGCTCAAGTTTAATGCAATAAATGATCAGAAGATTATTATGGTTATGTAAATTATTGATGTCTGTCATTGTGTAACAGGCAGCCAGTGAAGTGCAGGTTATCAGCCATCATTAGTAGACAAATAACTCATGTAGTTCCACAGGAGTATGTGGGTCACCTATGAAACGTGCTTACATGCAATTTAGGGCATTAATATTATGTGCAATGACAGTTTGTGCTGACTTGTGAACATTGGAAAAATGTGAAAAGTGTGATTTTTGTGTTAGTATGAAGAAAACAGTGCACATTTATTAACCTTTAACCATGAACAGCTACAGGAATTCCCACATGTACAATTTTTAAAAAGAGTTTAAACTATTAATGCTATGTTACAGTTATCTAAGACTATTTAACATAAAGTTTGTCTGGGGAGCCTGAGGTAAACCAAAAGAAACATTTACTGAAGTAAAATTTTCAAATTTATTATAACAAATGATCAGAAGATTATTATGGGTATTAGTGTTAATGATGTTTGTGTTACTGTGTTTGGTCCTGATTAGGCAGCACTCCACACAAACAGCACTGCAGATAAACACTCTGGCAGATATTCACCAGCCAGTGGATGATGTTCTACACAGAGTCTTAGAGAGACACAAAACCAGCATGAAGAACAAGTACGAGAGCCTATTTGAGGGAATCAGAACAGAACAGAATAAAACCCTCCTGAACAGGATTTACACACAGCTCTACATCATAGAGGGAGAGAGTGAAGGAGTGAATGAAGAACATGAGGTTCTACAGATGGAGAAAACATCCAGGAGACGCTTACAAGACTCTCCAATCAACTGCTCAGACATCTTTAAACAAGGTCCTGAAGGAGAAACACGAGAAGAGATCATTAGAGCTGTGGAGGCTGACAGACTCAGACACAGAGAAAGAGAAGATAACAGACCAGAAGAGCCAGAGCTCAGAGCTGCTCTGACTAAAGGCATCGCTGGAATTGGAAAAACTGTCTCTGTGCAGAAGTTCATTCTGGACTGGGCTGAAGGAAAAGCCAATCAGGATGTGGAGCTCATGTTTGTGCTTCCGTTCCGGGAGCTGAACCTGATTAAAGATGATCAATACAGTCTTCATGGACTTCTGTGTGACTTCCATCCTGAGCTCAAAGATCTGGACGCAGAGATTTATCATCAGATCAAAGCTGTGTTTATATTTGATGGTCTGGATGAAAGCAGAATTCCACTGAACTTTGACCAGTGTGAGAAAGTATCTGACATCACCATGACATCATCAGTGGGTGTGTTGATGACCAACCTCATCAAAGGAGAGCTGCTTCCCTCTGCTCTGATCTGGATCACCTCCCGACCAGCAGCAGCCAATCAGATCCCTCCTAAATACATCAACCGTGTGACAGAAATTCAGGGATTCAGTGACCCACAGAAGGAGGAGTACTTCAGGAAGAGGATCAGTGATGAAGACCAAGCCCAGAGAATCATCTCCCACATTAAGACAGTGAGGAGCCTCCACATCATGTGCCACATTCCAGTCTTCTGCTGGATCTCAGCCACTGTTCTTCAGAGAATCATGAAACAGCGTCATACAGAAATCCCTAAAACTCTGACTGAAATGTACTCACACTTCCTGCTCACTCAGACCAACATGAAGAACGAGAAGTATGAGGAGGAAGACGAGAGAGACCCAAAGAACCTGCTGGAGTCCAACAGAACCATTCTTCTGAAACTGGCTGACCTGGCTTTCAAACAGCTGATGAAGGGCAATGTGATGTTCTATGAAGAGGACCTGAGAGAGAGCAGCATTGATGTCACTGAGGCCTCAGTGTATTCTGGGATTTTCACTGAGATCTTTAGGGAGGAATGTGTGCTTCACCAGAGGAAGGTCTACTGCTTTGTTCATCTGAGCTTTCAGGAGTTCCTGGCTGCTGTTTATGTGTTTCACTGCTATGAGAACAAAAACATGGAGGAACTGGAGATACTTAACCCACAGTACAATGAGTGGTCTGAGGATGTTCCTCTGGATGAGGTTCTGATGGGAGCAGTGAATAAAGCTGTAGAGAGTCAGAATGGACACCTGGATCTTTTCCTCCGTTTCCTGCTGGGCATCTCACTGGAGTCCAATCAGAGATGCCTACAGGGTCTACTGACTCCAACACAGAGCAGCTCAGAGAGAACCAGAGAGCACATCAAGAGCTTAATCAAAGGAGATAATCATCACATCTCCACTGAGAGATCCATCAATCTGTTCCTCTGTCTGTCTGAGATGAATGACCAGTCTCTCTCCAGAAAGATTCAGGAGTATCTAAACTCAGAGAGAAACTCAGAGGTGAATCTCTCTCCTGGACAGTGTTCAGCACTAGCCTGCATGCTCCTGAGCTCAGAGGAGGTTCTGGATGAGCTGGACCTGAAGAAATACAACACATCAGAGGAGGGTTATAGGAGACTGATCCCAGCTCTGACTGTCTGCAGAAAAGCTCGGTGAGTGTTACATCTACATTAATACAGCAGAATAATATCTGATTATTGATGATTGATTAGGGCTGAACACATTAGATCTTCAGTAGATCTTCAGTTCAGACAATTAAACATTAGTAGTTGAGTTAGGACTGAATGATATACTGTCTGCACTGGTAGAGTGTGATATTGTCATTTTTTAAAGAAAAACATATAACTATATACATTAAAACCTGAGAAGATGCCTGGGGGTACAAAATAAATAAAGGGAAAAAATGAATACATTAAAATAAAATATATAAATAACTGTCTACAACTGTCTTACTTCATATAGTTGACCCCTTTTTAACTATAATTTTACACATTTGGTCATCTTAAGTCTAATAGAAAAAGTCATTTTTTCCATTACATATACAACCCCATTTCCAAAAACGTTGAGATGCTGTGCAAAATGTAAATAAAAACAAAATTAAATGGTGTGCAAATCATTTAAACCCTGTATTTCATTGAAAATAGTACAGAGACAACATATCAAATGTTGAAACTGAGAAACTTTATTGTTTTTTGAACAATATTTGCCCATTTTGAATTTGATGCCAACAACATGTTCCAAAAAAGTTGGGCCTGGGGCCTGTTTACCACTGTGTATCATTACCTCTTCTTTAAACAACGCTCTAAGCGTTTGGGAACTGAGGAGACACTGCTGTAGTTTAGAAAGTGAAATGTTTTCCATTCTTGTTTGATACAGGATTTCAGCTGCTCTACAGTTCAGGGTCTCCTTTGTCATATATTTCATTGCATGATGTACCAAATGTTATCAGTGGTGACAGGTCTGGATTTCAGGCAGGTCAGTTTAGCACTCAGACTCTTTTAATATGGAGCAATGCTGTTGTAATACATGCAGAATGTGGTTTTACATTGTCTTTCTGAAATATTCAAGGCCTTCCCTGAAAAAGACGTCATCTGGATGGCAGAATATGTTGCCAAAACCTGTATATATCATTCAGCATTAATGGTGCCTTCACAGATGTGCACGTCACCCATGCCATGTGCACTAATGCCCCCTTTACCATCATGAACACTGGCTTTTGAACTGTGCACTGATAACAAGCTCATTTTAAATGAGCTCAGGCCCAGAGAAGGTGGAAGTGTTTCTGGATCCTGTTTATATTTGGTTTCTTCTTTGTGTTTTAGAGTTTTAACTTGCATTTGTGGATGCAGATCTCTAATTTCATCCAGTATTTTCTCAAGGCTGGCGTTTGACCCATGTCGTTCGAGTTCTGGAGAACTGCTTCGGCTAATTTGTCCTGAATAGAGTGAATATAAGATGATGATAAACGCCGGTGCAGTTTGCCATAGATGGATTTAAATAGAATTAACAATTATACATAGCTACTGCACCATTTAAGTTGGAACAGGAAAATTTGAGTAAGAAACTGACTTCAGCTTAGGGGTCACACTAACTATGGCTTTAGTTTTATGGTTATAGTGTTGGGAAGGGGTCACTCTAAGTATGGCTCTAGTTTCATACTGTTATACACTCATTCTGAACACAGTGCTTGAAACATGTTCAAAAAAGATGGGACACAAGCAGGTTTATCACAGTATTATGTCACCTTTCCTTTTACCTGCATAAATAATTGTATGTGGACTGAAGACACAAACTGATCTAGTTTTGAAAGTGGATTTTTTTTGCCATTCTTCCATTATACCAGTCTTCAGCTGTGCAGTCACTGGGGCCTTTGTTGTTGTATTTTGCTCTTCATAATGCGCCACACATTTTCAATAAGAGACGGCAGGCCAGTCTAGAACCCTCACTCTCTGAGTACGCAGTCATGCTGTTCTAACACGTACAGCATGTTTTTGCCCTTGGTTTTTAATCAGAGATTTTTCCAAATTCCTTGAATCTTTTCATAATGTTACACACCATAGAGGGTGAAGTAGCTAAAATCCAGTTTTCAAACAGTTGGATTATTTTCTGGTGCATTTTGGCAGCGTGGTGAACCTCGACCCATCCTTGTTATACAGGACTAGGCCTGTCCTGAATGCTCCTTTTATACCGAGCATGGTTACATCTCCTCTTTTAAAATGTTTTCAGAACATTTAACAATCTTTATAGTGTTAATTCGTCCCTGTCTTTTTTAGAACATATTTCACCAGTTTTAGAATGATCTTATATTTACAAAAGACAATGAAGTTGATAAGATAAAACATTAAGGGTGTGTCCCAAAACCCAGTGAGCTCTCTTAGCAGCTGCTGTCTACATAGGCAGCTATGTAAGTAGGCAGTGTTCCAATTGTCCTCTATCCTTATAAGACAGATAAATGAGACGCTCCAGTTAGACAGTGATGATGTCACCGCTTGTTCCCACCCACTGCACATGACCAACGTTTACTGACCTCAGGTGTCTGAATCACCTCAGTGTTTAACCACCATGGATCCTGATCTGGCAGTTTATATAGCGATTTAAATTGACTTTGCTCTGAATGAAGCAGCAGAATAGATGAAAGTTGTTGGTCAGACACTGAAATTTAATAATTCAAGCACTACGTGAGGCTATTGAACAGTTAAAATTTACAAAGGTAAACTTTCCTTTAAGCACTTTGGAGGAAAAAACAACAGTAAACACTTTCCCCACATCATCCAAGGTTCACCGAGCTGACAGTTAGATAAATAATGGGTTTTAAAACAGATACTGTTTTATTTGGTTTGAATATTTACTGGGACGTACATGTTAATATATATACATTGTAACGGGTTTTGCAATTTTAATGTTATTATTGCTAGAACCTTGGACAAGGGTGTGGAGTAACCCAGATTTATTTGAAGTCTACAAACCAGGGCAAGAGAGAGAAACGCTCACCCCAAGGATGCTTCAGTAAAAGGGAATTTATTGGCTAAATATCAAACTACTTTTGGACTACATTCAATGATAAACAACAGAAAATAAAACAAAAAAACAAAACAAAACAAAATGATAAGGTCAAAAGGACAAAATAGCTAGAGTAAAGTGATTCACAGCTAAATGGTATGAGGCAGTGTGGTTCTTGGGAAGTCGCTTGAAAGAGCCTCTAGAGAATTAACCTAAGTATGGACAGGAATAACTATATGGCTGGACGTACCTATTAAAAGTTCTCTTATTAAATAAATTGGCGTCAGGGCCCTGACTGTAAATTGATAGAACCAGCTTACGTTGGAGTAGGGGGCTGACTTCAGGAGGGGCCGTCTCAGGACAGACTCGATCGAAGGCTGAAGCTCATGTGTTAGTTCATCTCCTCGCTGGTCGTGGATGCTGCATCTCCATGCGGGCACGCGCCTTTCCGTCAGTGTATTGGCGGAGGCGTCTCGTGGTCGTCTGAGGGTGGAGCTGGGGCAGCCTTTCGATGGTCAATCTGCTCACAGATTAGTGCGTGGCTCTGGGTGCGATGCCGGGTCTCCGTGGCGTCAGAACTGCTCCCACTCCGCTGGCGAGGTTTAGAAAGCAATCAGGGTTCTGAGGCTGGTGATACTAATTTAACTACCTTTGGCAAAGTCGGAAACATGAACGACTTCTCCTGGCCAGATGAGAGCCATTCACCTTCCTTCTCTAAGGGTGGTTTAAACTTAAGGTGTGTAGACGAACAGACAGTTACAAAAACAAAAGCTGGCACAAACTTAGAAATTTAGCTATTCTCTTGTTGAGGACGCAGGACTCCGAACTACTGAAATTTGTGGTCCACTCTGGTTTTGCTCGGCTGGAGGCCCTACCCTTTGGAGGTGGAGCCAGAGTGCTGATAGGTTCTCCTCACCTAAGGTTAACTAGCTATTCATTGTTTCCAACTCTGATTGGTTGTGCATAAGTTTAGGAATGCCTTCCCCAGAATCACTGCCTTCTTTGTTTCAGCAAGTTTTAAACAAAGAAAAAGAAACATTTCTATATCATCAAATTAGTTCAACAATGAACAACTAGGATATTCAGGTTTGTTTATAAGAGAGAGAGTTTAACCCTTGTTACCTGATACACAACACATGTTAAAAAGCACAGGTAATATTTGCCTATAATATCTGAATATGACCCAATGCATGAAGAAATAAAATCGACAACAAAAGAAAAGTAACAAAGGAAGAGAAGAAAAGGAAAGAAAACCACATTCAGGATACATATTGGTCAATGGTCTAAACTCATAGCAATTAAATGGTTGGGTCTGTCTGTTATCAAAGTTATACACTATGTATTTCTAACACTTAATAGTGGAAAAAGATACAGGTAATATTTAGGTAATACATATAACAATAATATTAATAGAACAAGTAGTATTGCTTACAGATTATATAAATGTTGATAATCAGACAAAGCAAGAAGTTTCTTGGGTTCTTTATAAGCACATGTCCTTACGGTGGTGGTGTGTTGTGCTTCATTCTCACCACTTGGGGGTGTTGCCCCACATCTAAATTGTCAATAAAATCTAAAAAGGCTAACTTTGTTATAGATTCTCATGACAACCTCGTTCTTGGTGTCTCCAGACCTCTTGAAATGTACCCCGTTGAATGGTGGCAATTCTGTATTGGTGCACCCTTTAGAAACTTAATTTCTTTTAATTCACAAGTTTAGTTAGAAGTTTGGTGAGGCCTGTAGCTGGATTCCAGGGAAGGATTTATAGCTGCCTGGTATGCCATATGGAGCAAAGGGGGTTGCTAACCTCCCATAGTGTCCAGATTCCTAAGGTAACGTCCTTTTAAGCTGTAAAACTTGTTGGCAACTTAATCCTGTTAATGGTTTCTACCTAGACATTGTGGAGCCAAACCCTTTTAGTGGGTAACAGGAGTGACTTGGCTCAACCAGATGTTGGTGTTTTGCTACAACATCATATAAAAATGTGTATACACCACACACAACTGCAGATAACTTGCATTAACCAAACATAACAATGATACACACACATATACAATTTAATAAATAAATATAGTTAACCACAGTCATTCACTGGTAATCAAACTATATATGCAGTTATATACAGTGATATTATTACAGTAATTGATTATGT